TATTATCGAGGTTTTTGTATCATGTATATGGCATGTTAACGGGGAACCCGCATGGTAAGCAAATAAATCATATTCAATTGCATTGTCACGGCTATGTACTACTACATGAGATAAAAAATAAAGTAAAGAAGTCAAACAAAAGGGAATCAATGATTCAGAAGTTAAAAGCGAAATTAACAGATTGGATGCCGTGTCGGACAATGATGTCCGAAGCTAGCGGAGGATCAGCCTTAAACATAAACAGTTCTTATCGGCAGTTAAAGGCTTAAGCAATGACTGTAATGAGGTAAGTATATGTATGTAGTTATGTACCAACCTACTAATAAACAAGGAAAGTAATTTAATAGATATTGGTCAAAAAACTAGTCATCTAATTAATGATATTGATGACCAAACCAACATTGAGTTCAATAAAAAAATATTAATGCCTTCTTTAAAATATTAAGAACAAATGGGCCGGCTCGACCGGAGTGATACCACGGCCTCACAGAAAACCGACGTGAAGCAACGCTTGCGTTGTGTTTCGTCGTGTGAGTGAGGCTACCGGAGGCCCAATTACCCCCCTTCCCTTCCCTAATCTCCCCAATTCTTGAATCCCCAATGATTCTCAACCTCCTAATCCCCAAAAGGCCAGTAACGCACTTGTAACGCCTCTGTTGTTCCAGGTGTCCATGAGCGACGCCGATTGCATCAGGTGATCCGTCCGCTCGTTTACCGGCTTATGCCATAAAAAAAATTAAAATCATTTCATTTATCGTCAATCTACTTAGTAGTCGCATTCAACAGCTTGTTTTCTCTTTCTCTCTCTCTCTCTCTCTCTCTTTTAATAAACCTTGTTTTCGACCTCTAAGACCCCCATAGATTGGTTTGCGAAACATAACAATAACTAGCTTCTGCCCGCGACTTCGTACGCGTAATCCCGATATTTCCCGTTCCCGTTCTTGATTTTCGGTAAAAAGTAAAAAAAGAATTAGGTAAAAAGTATCCTATGTCCGTCTCCTGGTTCTAAGCTACCTCCCCACCAATTTTCATCCAAATCGATTTAGCCATTCTTGAGTTATAAATAGTGTAACTAACACGACTTTCTTTTATATATATAGATTATATAACCTACGAGGCGGCTCTCAGACACAGATAGTGATTTATAGACAACTAGCTGTTGCCCGCGACTTCGTCCGCGTAGATTAATGACTTCTGACAGAATCAATTCAGTGCCCAAGTAAGATTTACCTATTTTGAAATGATTTATCGTAGTTTCAATAAATAAATAAATAATCCCGCAGGGATCTTACCAGTACAGTGCCCGATCACGTAAGGTTTGAGTAATAAAAACTATTCTATCGACTATTGTTGTACCGAATCTCTCTAAAATAAGTTCAGTGGTTAAGAGTTAGACAGTCCCGGGGTATTGACGCATAGTTCCCGTTCCCGTGGGACATCTGTGATAAAAACTATCAAACGTTACCCAGGTCCCAAATCATCGTTTTACCGAATGTAATTCAAAAATATTCAATGATTCTAAATTCAATGGCTAAGAAGATTTATACAAACTCTCATTCCCTATTTTATCCCCTTACGGGTGGAATTTATCAAAATCCTTTCTAAGGAGATACCTATGTCATAGTAAATTTATGCATGCAAAGTCTCAGCCCGATCAATTTAAAACTGGCAAAGTATCATACTTTGGGGTGAGAATGTTCAAAAACCTTTCTAAAGGGACGTTTACGTCATAATATCCATCTGCACGCCGAATTTCAACCCGATCGGTGTAAAACTGACAAAGCTTCATACAAACGTTCATCCCCTACATTACCCCATTGGAGGTGAAAATAATCAAAATCCTTACTTGGGGATGCCTACGTCATAACATCTACCTGTATGCCGAATTTCATCTGCATCGGTGTAAAACTGACAAAGCTTCATATAAACTTTCACCCCCTATTTTACCCCCTTAGGGGTGGAAATGATCAAAATCCTTTCTTAGCGGATGCTTATATGATAACATCTATCTGGATGTCAAATTTCAATCCGATCGATTTAAAACTGACAAAGTCTCATACAAACTTTCATCCCCTATTTTACCCCCTTGGGGGTGGAAATTATCAAAATCCTTTCACAGCAAATTACTACGTTATAACATCTATCTGCATGCCAAATTTCAACCCGATCGGTTTAAAACTGACAAAGTCCCATACAAACTTTCATCCCCTATTTTACCCCCTTGGGGGTAGAAATTATCAAAATCCTTTCACAGCGGATGCTAACGTCATAACATCTATCTGCATGCCAAATTTAAACCCGATCGGTTTAAAACTGACAAAGTTTCATACAAACTTTCATCCCCTTTTTTACCCCCTTGGGGGTGGAAATTATCAAAATCCTTTCTTAGCGGATGCCTACGTTATAACATCTATCTGTATTCCAAATTTTAGCCCAATCTATCCAGTGGTTTGGGCTGTGCGTTGATAGATCACTATGTCAGTCAGTCAGTCAGTCAATCACCTTTGAATTATATATATATAGATGTCTCTTTGTTTTCTCCTACCTGTATCGAGTTCATTATAACAGTACTGCAATATCAGACCGTTCATACCAAGGCTATCTTCGCCAATACGTCTTCATACCAACTATTAATTGCTATTGTATGTAACACATGATTGCATACATATTTTTGTAATAACTACTTAATGCACTTACTACGCAATATCTACGTGATATTTGAGAATAGGTATATATTTCTGATGATATATGGCCAATTAGCAATCGAATTAAGAATTAATTAATTCATAAAATTAAGTATAAACCGCATCTTGTGTTGATTTCTCTAAGAAGTATTCAAGAAGGTTATTGTAAATCAATAGCCTAGTCTAGATTTTAAGAATGTGAATGAAATAAAACAAGGCTTTATTTGGTTGACACGCCTGTCGCTTATTCTGAAATACTACAACTACAAATACCGAAACAATGAAATCCGTTACAAATCTTGACATAAACTGTCTAAGATTCAATAACAAAACTAATAAAAAAATGAGAAACAAGTCCGTGTTTCTTTTTTTTTTTGCACAAATTAAAAAACTACACAATTAAGAGAACCCAACCTAGCAACACGGGTAAAAAAACTCGAAATGATTACAAATAGCTTAGTAAGGATCGTTACAGTTGACTCTATGCCTTACGGCGAGTCGCAATCCGCACGCACCTCAAAAAGCCTTCAGACCACCGCGGATGGGGCATTAAGGCCCAATAGGGCTGATGCCGACACGGAGCCGCGGAGGACTTAAGGGGTTGCCGGGGCTCCGGCTCGAAGGGCAAGAGTAGGAACGGAGTGGTTTTTAATTAATAAGAGACTGACACTCCCTCCCGCCTCACCCAGGCGGTAGAAGTCATTCGATGATTTACCCCCTTAAAAAATGCCTAATAATTAATAACCGAACCGATCATACACAAAAATCTCTAAAAAAAAATGCTCATAGCCTAGCTAACTATAATATAAACGACCAATCAAAAAACGTTACCAAAACTATAAGTTACAACAATGACTATGGTACCTATGTAATAGCTTGACAGTCTTGACCTGGGATACCCCTAAATATTACGAAACATTAAATTAAGTCAAGTTCAAACTTATGATGGTAGTCGAAAATATGTGAGGTCAAACTCGTGACTCAGCTCATCAACAGAACAGGGGCTTGCAAAACTGGTTAGGATAACTTGTAAGAGCTGCACAGTTAAGTTTAAAACTTAATGAATGGATGTTGAGGTATTGCGTTAAGTAATATTTAGACAAAGAATGAGTCAGGCCAAAGGCTTAAGTTATTTGAAAGACGATAATGATTACTTTATTGCCATTTCAATAGAACTGTGGTGACAGAACGGTCTATCCAACTACGACAAATTACTTATTTACATTGACATCAATTTGTATTGACATTTTCATTTAACTCGTCGAGTACCGTATTTATAGACACAATTAAAGAACAATAGGTTGCGGTCATCGGTGACCGCTTGGTGTTTGACAGTTTAATCTAATAGGGTAGATGACAATTTTTTATTTTAATGTCCGTCTGGTAGATTATTAAAAATATAAGGCACGTATTTTTAATTTTTTTACGGAAACGAATAGTTTCGAAGATATATTGATTTGAAATATTGCACGACCTCACTTTTGAGTACGATTTATACTCTAAAATGACGTAACTACCTCCCACTCCTAAACTTTGATTCGTATTGTCTAACTATTGTTTTCTTATACGACAAAATAAAAAAATACCTACGTATCTAATATTTTTTCATTACCTGACATGACGGACTAATTTGGTTTTTAATTTTCATACCCTGTCATCATTCCTATTCGTGATCATTTTAATTGATAAATATATTTCTTGACATTAAACTGTTAATAAACTTAGGGTCAATTTTTCCGACACCTGATAACTTTTAACTGAAGAATAACTTTGAATATTTGACAATTCTTCCATACTAAAAACTGTCAAATGTCAATTTTATTCTATACAGTTAAGAATTATCTGTTGATTTTAAAATCGGCCCTTAGTGACATTACCTCTATATTTGAATTCACTTTTATTACAGTAATTCTGTTCGTAGTTTGAATTTTGAATAGTGCATACATTTTTCTTCAAACAATGTTATGTTATGACAATGTTATGTTATGATGACGCCATTTTGGCATTTTGTAATTTGCATGTCTCAAGGCGTAATATGGTCGGAACTGTACTTTTCTGCTAACAACTTAACTTACGTGAATTCAGCAAATAAATGATTTGAATTTGAAAAAAAAATACATTAAAATATGATCAATAATTGTGGGTATAACAGCATAAACACAAAGCAACAAACAGAAAAACCCATAACGATTTCCATACATGACAGTTCCATCCATTTCCAACTTAACTCACCCAGTCAATAAGTTCTACAACATCAGTGTCATCAAACTGTCATAAATCAAGTACAGAAAGGTCATATAAACGGAAGTTACTCACAAATGCGATTTCGGCAGGTGGGCCAGTGACATCAGCGATGCCGACGCCGACGCGCAGCGCGTGCGCAGCCGTCGCGCACGCAACCACCAGCCACACGACCAACATGCTGAGCTGAAAGTGAATGACATTGAATATATGAAAGTCTATAAGAACGGTAGAGATGTGAAAAGGATATCTGACTGTCAAGGTGTCTGTTAAAATCTAAAGTGAACTTTTTGCATGAACAGATATTAATTGAATGAGAATCAGAAAGTAGGGCCGAATTCAAGGTTACAAAAATTTCCGTAGGACGACTTTAATATCACCTTATTTCTAACTGTCCTAATATTTAGAAAAGCCTTTGTTTCTTGAACCCTGAGAAGAGACAGCTTTTCTATTCATCACCATCATCTGACTAAAACGACAATGATGTAATTTACCACTGAATCACTAAAATTGACTGAAAACGTCAGAATGTATATGTAGGTACTTACAAGCCAATTATGAAATCTATTCATTTAATGAATAACGAACCACAAGCACTATTTGAAAAAACTTCGTAGACTGACCGTGTCGCTGTCGACTTGGACTGCAAACAGTCGTGCGGTCATTGACAAATAATTGACGATTTATTGCCACCATTTCTATAAATTAAAATGACAATGACATTACCATCGAACTGTCCACATTTACATTCGATTATTTTATATTTTTTCATAGTTTTAACAAGGCCGTTTGTAAAAGAAATAGTACCTAAATATTAATAACCTACATAATGAATCACCTACGCAGGATGTGTTGCACAGTTGATATTATAACCTAACTGAAAATGTTGCCAATCGGTCCTTTTGTCTTTTGTATAAAGAAAAAGAAAATAAAACACCTACAAATGAATCAGCTACGACAAGACTTTTTCAGTCAATATTTTACCTAATTGATATTGCCCGTAATGAAAGCACCGACCAATTTACAAAACAATACGAATAGATGTTTAATTACCAATCAATTAATGTCTATGTGTAATCGTAATACCGTGCCTAAATGCTTATTAAAATATTCATTACCTAGGTATTTATTTATTGGTAAAACGAGAGAACTGATGAAGACCGGTCAAGTGTGGGCCAAAAGCGGTGTAGAGATCAAAGTCAAAGTCAAAGTCAAAGCATTTATTTCAATTAAACCATAATTTGGTACTTTTGAAACGACAACAAATACAAAATAAATAATAGTCCGTCAGAGAAGCTAGGTGAAGCTCATTCCAAAATGTAGATTCGAATGGAGAAGAACGAGAAAGAAACTCCATTCGTTACGATTTTTAAAAAAATTCGTTCCACTATGTCTCTGATACATATTCCGTAGTTTATTATCTATAGTTTTACCACTTTGTCAAATTTCTAGTACCAATAGTTTTTGAGCTAAGTATACCGTGGACGAAACGACTGTCTGTCGGATAGATAAACATAATTACGGCTAAATTGTAACTACAGAACTATGGAACCCTAAAATCTACCATACGGTAGTCAAATTGAAATATGTTAAACAAATTTTCGTACCTACATTAATTAGAATTCCAACCACAAATTGATCTGCTATGGTTATATGACGCACCGCACGGTCACAATCAGTGATTCTCAACCTATAAACATTTGTGTCTATGAACAAGAACTACTTACGTAGCTCGTATTAAAAAAGATACGATATCGCCAATTTAAAAAGTTGTTATGCCAGTAGTTGATAGATATGAATAACTGAGGAGGTTCCAACGTGATTTTTTTTTATATTTGATGGGCCGACGTTTGATTATCTCGTCTGGTGGTAAGCGATGATGCGGTTATCGATGGAGCATGTCGTCGTCGACCCATTGTCGTGATTATGATAGGAGTGAAAATAATCTGCAAAAAAGGTGCAGGTACCTACTACGCTTCCAAATTGTGAAATCAAAATATTAATATGACATTCTCATGCAATCTTACGAAATAAGTATTAAATGAAACAAAAAAATTAAACAATATTAAAAAAGCAATGTCAGGAAAGACAAAATGTTAATACTTATATTATAATAATTGCAGACAGAAAATCGTCAAAATTCAGCGCACACGCACAATTAATATCGATAAAGTAAGTGAGTCAACAAATCATAGGTACATTATTTTACGTCCCATCAAAGATTGAATGCTGTCGGTGTTGAATCAATATTCGACTCACGCGCACGGCCGCTCAGATCAATGTCATTGACAATCGGATCTTCCGTGGAACGTGATTTGTGTCAGAATCTATTGACTTAGGACAAATATCTGTATGTAGTCTAAATAACTATTTTCCTATTTGCTTTTTAAACGTGTTAAATTAACTAGCTAGCTACAGAAATAGTTTTTTTTATGGAAAAAACCGGTAAACGAGCAGATGGATCACCTGATGGTAAGCAATCGACGTCGCCTATAGACACCTGTATAACCACAGTGATATTTTTTTTTTAGGGGGAAAGTTATCGAATGACTGCTCCCGCCTGGGTGAGACGGGAGGGAGTGTCAGACTCTTACTGACTAAAAACCACGCCGTTCCTTCTCCTGCACGTCGAGCCGGAGCCCCGGTAACCCGTTAGGTTCTCCGCGACAACCACAGTGATAATAATAATACAGCAGTGATTTTATGGCACATTAAATTTAAACTATTTTGACTACCTCTCTGTAAGTCAAGTATGTGTTTATACTGTGTTTGACTATACAGTATTTAGGTAGATACCTATCTTTATACTGACTGTGTCAATAATCTCTATCTAAAACTATAAATAGTTATACAGGAGAATTAAAATTCTACTATTCCACATACTATGTACTCACCCACCAAAATATTAGGCAGTAAACACAAGGAGAACGTTCACATTATCGAAACTCCTGTTATCCTTATAACCAGAATCGAGGTCAAAAGGTCATTGCTCCTTTGGACACGGTTGAACAACTTTGAACTCGGTCGCACTCAAATTCCAAAAAGTGAAACAAAAGAAGGGTTCTTTCTTTTGAAATCGTATGCTTCTTCGACACACATACTTTCAACATATTGCGTATTTTATTCAATGTAAAATACAGAACTGACTTTTCACCAGCACATTAATCATACCATAACATCACGCCTTTTATCCCCGAAGGGGTAGGTAGAGGTGCATATTATACCACTGTACAATGTAACACCCACTTTTCACTGTTTATGTTATGAGTCCCATGTAATAGAGGGTGAGCCTATTGCCATATAGCGGGCACAATTCCAGACTCCGTGCTACTACTGAGAGTTTTAAAAACCCTAGTAATACTTTGCCCGACCCGGGAATCCAACCAGAGAGAGAATCATCATAACAATATTCTCATAATGTAGATTTAGAGGTAGTTCCATTTATTGTTATCGTCATATTCAAATTCATCTCAATTGCCAAGTCTTCTCAATAGGCTATACTACAATACCAAATAAAAATTATACCTCTAAAAGGATTTTCAATGAATACTGCAATGAAAAGCAAATTAAATATCCATTCAATACTTCGCACTTGCGACCACTTGGCCAAAATTTATCTTTCGCATAAAATCATAATTTGCAATTCCTGATATTTAATTGTTAAGAATTCGACCCTATAATGTAATACGAATTTGCCTTCAGAACCAAACACATAACCCCATGCTTGATAGTCTCACTGTTAGACACTTAACTAAGTAATTAAAACATCGTAATATTTTACGCGGTACAAAACCATAACAATATAGCATGAATAACAATAACAACCGGTAATTATCTCGTTGCTCGTACGATAAGACAAATGATCTAATGTGTGATACGGAAACCAGGGAATTATTAGAACAAAGTTTGTTGACATCGCCATGTGTAGCAGAAAGTCATGAAAAGGAGAGATTTACACTACGAAGTCAATTGATGTTTTAATGGATAATTAAAAGGAATCTTGCAAGCAAGAAGTTTAGCAATTAATGTAATTGATTGAAACATTAGAAATTCTGTTAAATAACGACAATTATTAAATAATAATAAGTCCTCAAAGAAATGGCACTGCTCCTCATAATGAGTATATATTTGTTTAAATAAAATTATTAACATTATTAACTATTATGCCTCGTTGGCCGAGTGGTCGCAAGTGCGACTGCCGGGCAAGGGGTCTCGGGTTCGATTCCCGGGTCGGGCAAAGTATTACTAGGTTTTTAAAAAATCTCAGTAGTAGCACGGAGTCTGGAAATGTGCCCGGTATATAGCAATAGGCTCACCCCCTATTACATGGGACTCATAACATAAATAGTGAAAAGTGGGTGTTACAGACTCAGACTTCTTGCTCGACAATTGCATTTTTAAAGGTAGTCTGACATAGATATAACAAAACATTAAAAACAGTAATTAACAATCATAAAATGTCATGCTTCAAGGACATCAATGAAATAGTATTTTTTACTCTCCCAAAAGACTACTAACACACAACTCATATATTATCAGTAATTAATTATACACCATCATTGAGGAAAAAACTTCAGGCAAATGTATCTAATACCCTTAGGAATCAAGTCAGTGACCTTTATCAAATGACACGGATATTATCGACAGGTAAAGCATTGATTTAATTAGCCACTAGACAGCCTTAATATCTGACCTAAGAATGATCTAGAATGAATTCTAGATTGCCTAGATAGATGGTCAAGACGTCCCAATTGGAGGATGTCGCATTTGAGGATCCTCAGTTAGGGCAATGTATTGTGTAGATTGCTATCAGTATGGAGTCGTGTCGTCTCAAAATCGTATCAAAATGTCGTGGTGGCCCGGAGGTTTAAGACGCCCGCTTTTCATCATTTTCATGTTTTCATGCATTTCGGGTTCGAAACTTCGAAACCTAGCAACGGCAAGTACCAATGTGGCTTTTTCTGAGCTATATGTATCTTCTAAAATTATTTAGACACCACTGACAAATGATGAAGGAAAACAACGTGAGGAAACGTGGGCTAATGGGCTTATAATTTCTAATTATAAGTTTGAAATCGCCAACCCGCATTGAGCAAGCGTGGTGATTAATGCTCAAACCTTCTCCATGTGAGAAGAGGCTTTGCTCAGCAGTGGGTATTATAGGCTGTTGATGATGATGA